AGCTACCCATAAAATAGCTATATATCTAATAACCCTCACATGAGGAAAGATAACCCAATTGTGAGGGCAAAGTCTGGGATTTAGGAGAAGTAGGTTCAAGACCCTGTTATGCTCCATACTTCCCGGAGTGCGTTCTACAAAATCACATTTGTAAAGTTATTTAGGTTCCTAACTCCATTGATTTCAAGGAAGTTAGATGCCTAGGCACTTTCCTGCTAGGTTCCTATCTGCATCTTTAGTCTCTCTGTGCCTCAGCTCCCCATCTGTAAAGTACAGATGACAGCATTTCTTTACTTCATAAGGTATTGTGAAAATAAATACATTAAAGATTGTGAGATAATGAGATAGTACAGTAATGGAGACCATGAAACTATTTAAGATAGATGAGAGGACTAGGACTTCAGTAAGGCAATAGTATGTTTTTGTTAAGGTGGAAGAGAGAATTGCCCTTTGTGGCCAAAGAGAGAAGAAGTTCTGGGGGGAACTTAATTAAGTAAGAATTTAATCAACGAAGAGAATAGTACCAATGAAAGGCTTGTGAGCTCATAAGTCTATGAGTTATGGTAACAGCCACCAAAAGTGAAGTTTTAGCTTTAACATAAGCTTAAAAGGGGAGAAAAGTGTATCAGTCATATCAGCCTAAAGGAAAGAAACATTTTTTCCTATCATGCTCTTGAACTCGGTAAAGTTATCTAGCACACTCCATTACTAGATTATTTTCCCTTTTAGGGAGATATCCTTGCTTTCCACAAAATTTACAATTCAAAATCCTATTCACTTTTAACTTTTCTTTTCAGGATTTTGCCCTTTTAATGTTCAGAATAATAAGTACATTGATAATTAGTTTTAATTTTCGGTCTAGTGGTATAGCCTGGCAGTATGAGAATCCAAAGCCAAGGCAGACCAGGGAGGAAAGAAATATTTCACCCTCCTCAGGACAATGAAGAGAAAAAGTGAGAATGAGCTCTCAATGCAGACTTTCATCTTCTTTTGCTTTTAGCTATTTTCCTGTGTAATGTATAGAGGGTGAGGTTTTTGTTTGTTTTGTATTTTTGCTTTGCTGAGGCAAAGAAACTGGTTCGCAAGAGTCCAAACTTCAGGGGAAGGTGACTCAGGGAAAAGGAATGATGGGAGGAGGTTGCTGAAAGAGGAAAAAAGATCAAACATAAGACAGATGCAAGTGGGGGAAAGCTCCCGCCAATGAACATATCCAAATAGAGGAAAATGTAGGATCTATGTACCATAAAGACTTGGTCTGGGTACGAAGGTCTTGGAACAGGAAGGGGAGCACCTGGGAAGACATAGTATTGGATGGGGGCGGGGCTCTCACAGATTCCCTTCCTTTGCTAGCTTTCTTTAGCTGAATCCCATTCAACATTGTTAAATGTCAGCATGGGCAGAGGATTCTTCATGGTACCGGGCAAGCTAAGCACTCTGGTCCCCTGCACACTCATTACTTCAGGCTCTTGGACTCCTCTAGACTTCTAAATCCCTTAGGGTATGTCTATACTGCCACCCTAGTTCGAACTAGGGTGGCTAATGGAGGCTTTCAAAGTTGCAAATGAAGTCCGGGATTTAAATATCCCAGGCTTCATTTGCAACTTTGAAAGCCTCCATTAGCCACCCTAGTTCGAACTAGGGTGGCTAATGGAGGCTTTCAAAGTTGCAAATGAAGTCCGGGATTTAAATATCCCAGGCTTCATTTGCAACTTTGAAAGCCTCCATTAGCCACCCTAGTTCGAACTAGGGTGGCTAATGGAGGCTTTCAAAGTTGCAAATGAAGTCCGGGATTTAAATATCCCAGGCTTCATTTGCAACTTTGAAAGCCTCCATTAGCCACCCTAGTTCGAACTAGGGTGGCAGTGTAGACATACCCTTAGAGTGTCCAGTATACAGCTACAGAGCCTCAGCCCTGGAAGCAAGGAAGAAAAGAAGAGGACAGCAAAAAAGAGAAGAAAAGAAAAAGGTGAAAGCCAAGAGGAAATGCACTCAGATGTATCCTAAACATCTCAGTTGAGGCAGATGACTGGAGTCCATTGCTGAGTGTTTCTTTCTTTTGTCCTGTGCAAGACCAATGGTAAAATTCTTCAGTGTTGCCTTCACAATGTAGCGTATTTAGCAGTCCCTTCCACAGTTGCACAGTCCAAGGCCAGGACTGAAGGAGACGGCATAGTGATTTAGGCAATACAGACTGGGTTTAGTCAGGCCTCAACCTAGAGAGCCAGAGAGAATGACAAAAAACTGTTCTTGCAGCAGCTGAAATAAAGAAGCTGTTTTATATGAATTACTAATCGGTCCTGTCTCTTCTATACAATAAAGCTCTTACTCACAATTTTTTACAAGTGAGCAGACAACCCAGAAACCTTAAATCCAGACTGGCAGATTCACTGTACCTAAAAATGTGCTTTAGTCACCCATATTCTATTCATACATTAAAATATCAAGTAAATGAAGAGAATTGCAATATTTAATATTGCAAGTTAGAAGTTCTGTTTTCCAATAGTTTTCTGTCAAAGACAGAATTCATAAATCTACAGAGGTTAAACTATTACTTATTAAGGATGATAAATATCGACTGACTAATGATGGGGACGCTGAGCTCCCCATGGCGTTTCAAAGTGGCAGTGCCGCACGGAGCCTGATCCTGGGCTCCATGCGCTGCGTGCAGCCTGGGAACACCCTCGCTGACCCCAGGCTGCACACAGCGTTTCAAAGAGGCAGCGTCATGTGAAGCCCAGGGTGTAGCCCCAGGCTTCAAGCGGCGCTGCTGCTTTGAAGTACCTCCTTCTCTTCCCCCACCCCATGCATCCTCTTTCTGATAGAGGCAGCAAGGGGGGGAGGTGATTAGTTGACTAGCCTGTTGACTATCCAATAAGCATTTGTTTATTGGATAGTTGACTAGTCCTTCACATCCCTATTACTTATATGCAGCTACCACACAAGGCCTCTGGAATACTGGGGCTCTTTATGGCCCTGACTCAGAAAGGTACTTACACACATGCTTACCCTCCATCCTTGACCAGGAAAGCACTTGAGGCCATGCTTTACTTCTTTCCTGAAAATGGATACTCTTCTTAATCAGAGCCAAGACACAAATGGACAGTATATTAAATATAATCACTAGCACAGATTAAAGGTCAGAGCTTAGCATTTGAATTCCACAGCAACCTTTAATTCAATATGTATTAAACATCAACCAATTCAATTTGTACATAAGCACTGAAGGCACAATTCTCCCTTCTGTGCAGCTTAGCAGATCTCAACTGCACAGACCTCTGGTGTAACATGTTTCAGTTTTCTGACTGTCCCATCAGTTTAAACTTTCAGTTTGAAAAAAAATCTGGTCCTTATAAAATTATTAAAAGAGCCTTCTGATTTTAAAATGATATTATGTCCTTGTATCTACAGATAAAAGTACTGAAACAAAAGCTCTGAGCATACTCCCCTTCATACCAATGAGCTTTTAACTCAACGCTAATATTAATAACTATTCTAAATGTCAATATTGTGAACTACCACATGTGAGCTGTTGGACATTTTACCAGAAAGAGATAGCAAACATGCTTGTTGATTATGGTTGGATAACAAATAACTCAGAGATACAAAAGAGATAATTAGATTATACCCATTCTTAG